GTCTGTCTTGTGTACCTCCTGTCTGTCTTGTGTACCTCCTGTGTGTCTTGTGTACTTCCTGTTTGTCTTGTGTACCTCCTGTGTGTCTTGTGTACCTCCTGTCTGTCTTGTGTACCTCCTGTGTGTCTTGTGTACTTCCTGTTTGTCTTGTGTACCTCATGTGTGTCTTGTGTACCTCCTGTCTGTCTTGTGTACTTCCTGTTTGTCTTGTGTACTTCCTGTGTGTCTTGTGTACCTCCTGTACTACAGATTAAAATCTGCCAGCTGGTTAACTCTGGCACAGTAACAGAAATGAGAAATGTTGATCAGTGTGCGTTGTTCCTGTCATTACATTCAGTTTGTTTTTTCTTTATTTTCATTTGTAAAGTGTGTTGAGACTTTAAATAAATTGTCATTTGATTTGAAACCAAGATGGAGGAGGAGGCAGAGCGGAGGCGGCAGCCCCCAGTGAAGCCAGAGCCAGAGGAGGAGGTGCAGCAGGAGAAACCACACAGGGAGAGGGAGCACCGGGAGAGGGAGCACCACAGGGACAGGAGAGGAGGAGGTGGAGGAGGTGCAGACAGGCCTCCTCCCGAGCACCCTCAGTCCCAATCAGACGATGACGTGGAGGATGGAGAGGAGCTTGACGATCGTGATGGGGAGGACTCGTCAGACGCCAGGACACACCCACACCTCAAGCCCACGCTGCGGCCAATCACGTCGGCCCCCTCGGTGTCGTCGGGCAGCGTCGGCGCCACGCCCAACTCCCCTGGCAACGAGTCTCCATGTGGCATCATCATCCCTCATGAGAACTCTCCAGAAGCCCAGCCCACAGATGAACACCGGCCCAAGATAGGCCTCAGCCTCAAACTGGGTGAGTTAGGACTACTCTGACTGGGTGAGTTAGGACTACTCTGACTGGTTGAGTTAGGACTACTCTGACTGGGTGAGTTAGGACTACTCTGACTGGGCGAGTTAGGACTACTCTGACTGGGTGAGTTAGGACTACTCTGACTGGGTGAGTTAGGACTACTCTGACTGGTTGAGTTAGGACTACTCTGACTGGTTGAGTTAGGACTACTCTGACTGGGTGAGTTAGGACTACTCTGACTGGGTGAGTTAGGACTACTCTGACTGGGTGAGTTAGGACTACTCTGACTGGGTGAGTTAGGACTACTCTGACTGGTTGAGTTAGGACTACTCTGACTGGTTGAGTTAGGACTACTCTGACTGGGCGAGTTAGGACTACTCTGACTGGTTGAGTTAGGACTACTCTGACTGGGTGAGTTAGGACTACTCTGACTGGGTGAGTTAGGACTACTCTGACTGGGTGAGTTGGGACTACTTTGACTGGGTGAGTTAGGACTACTCTGACTGGGTGAGTTAGGACTACTCTGACTGGGTGAGTTAGGACTACTGGGTGAGTTAGGACTACTCTGACTGGTTGAGTTAGGACTACTCTGACTGGGTGAGTTAGGACTACTGGGTGAGTTAGGACTACTCTGACTGGTTGAGTTAGGACTACTCTGACTGGGTGAGTTAGAACTACTCTGACTGGGCGAGTTAGGACTACTCTGACTGGGCGAGTTAGGACTACTCTGACTGGGTGAGTTAGGACTACTCTGACTGGGTGAGTTAGGACTACTCTGACTGGGTGAGTTAGGACTACTCTGACTGGGCGAGTTAGGACTACTCTGACTGGGTGAGTTAGGACTACTCTGACTGGGTGAGTTAGGACTACTGGGTGAGTTAGGACTACTCTGACTGGGTGAGTTAGGACTACTGGGTGAGTTAGGACTACTCTGACTGGTTGAGTTAGGACTACTCTGACTGGGTGAGTTAGGACTACTGGGTGAGTTAGGACTACTCTGACTGGTTGAGTTAGGACTACTCTGACTGGGTGAGTTAGAACTACTCTGACTGGGTGAGTTAGGACTACTCTGACTGGGTGAGTTAGGACTACTCTGACTGGGCGAGTTAGGACTACTCTGACTGGGTGAGTTAGGACTACTCTGACTGGGTGAGTTAGGACTACTCTGACTGGGTGAGTTAGGACTACTGGGTGAGTTAGGACTACTCTGACTGGGTGAGTTAGGACTACTGGGTGAGTTAGGACTACTCTGACTGGGTGAGTTAGGACTACTGGGTGAGTTAGGACTACTCTGACTGGTTGAGTTAGGACTACTGGGTGAGTTAGGACTACTGGGTGAGTTAGGACTACTGGGTGAGTTAGGACTACTCTGACTGGTTGAGTTAGGACTACTCTGACTGGTTGAGTTGGGACTACTTTGACTGGGTGAGTTAGGACTACTCTGACTGGGCGAGTTAGGACTACTCTGACTGGGTGAGTTAGGACTACTCTGACTGGTTGAGTTAGGACTACTGGGTGAGTTAGGACTACTGGGTGAGTTAGGACTACTCTGACTGGTTGAGTTAGGACTACTCTGACTGGGTGAGTTGGGACTACTTTGACTGGGTGAGTTAGGACTACTCTGACTGGGCGAGTTAGGACTACTCTGACTGGGTGAGTTAGGACTACTGGGTGAGTTAGGACTACTCTGACTGGTTGAGTTAGGACTACTCTGACTGGGTGAGTTAGGACTACTGGGTGAGTTAGGACTACTCTGACTGGTTGAGTTAGGACTACTCTGACTGGGTGAGTTAGAACTACTCTGACTGGGCGAGTTAGGACTACTCTGACTGGGTGAGTTAGGACTACTCTGACTGGGCGAGTTAGGACTACTCTGACTGGGTGAGTTAGGACTACTCTGACTGGGTGAGTTAGGACTACTGGGTGAGTTAGGACTACTCTGACTGGGTGAGTTAGGACTACTGGGTGAGTTAGGACTACTCTGACTGGTTGAGTTAGGACTACTCTGACTGGGTGAGTTAGGACTACTGGGTGAGTTAGGACTACTCTGACTGGGTGAGTTAGGACTACTCTGACTGGGTGAGTTAGGACTACTCTGACTGGGTGAGTTAGGACTACTCTGACTGGGTGAGTTAGGACTACTCTGACTGGGTGAGTTAGGACTACTCTGACTGGGTGAGTTAGGACTACTCTGACTGGGTGAGTTAGGACTACTGGGTGAGTTAGGACTACTCTGACTGGTTGAGTTAGGACTACTCTGACTGGGTGAGTTAGAACTACTCTGACTGGGTGAGTTAGAACTACTCTGACTGGGCGAGTTAGGACTACTCTGACTGGGTGAGTTAGGACTACTCTGACTGGGTGAGTTAGGACTACTCTGACTGGGTGAGTTAGGACTACTGGGTGAGTTAGGACTACTCTGACTGGGTGAGTTAGGACTACTGGGTGAGTTAGGACTACTCTGACTGGGTGAGTTAGGACTACTGGGTGAGTTAGGACTACTCTGACTGGTTGAGTTAGGACTACTGGTTGAGTTAGGACTACTGGGTGAGTTAGGACTACTCTGACTGGGTGAGTTAGGACTACTGGGTGAGTTAGGACTACTGGGTGAGTTAGGACTACTGGGTGAGTGGTGTTGTATGTCTATCTATATGCAGGGGTTAAAGTTCTCAGTCACTGTGACGGATTTCCGTCATGATTGTTGTTGATACACCGATGTTCAGACGAAGGGAATTTATGCGTACCACCGGGCGCTCAACTCAACTCAACTCAAACCGGGCGCTCAACTTAGTCAGTGGTGTGTAACCTACAGTAGCTGCTGTCGAAGTCATTCATAGCCTCTACTCAGCAGGTTAGCATGGGCGGGAGTTTCGTCTTTCCATGGTGACATCACCATGCGGTAAGTTGGTTCATAGACCAATAACAAAGAGAGTTCCAAACCTCTCTGCCAATAACAGCTAAATTATTTGATATTGATATAAAAACTGCTGCATTGGGCATTTAACATCATTTTAACCAAGATGGAAATTATATTTTAGATGGTGTCGGCATAAATTTATTTTTATTCATTTCGGGGTAGAATGGCCTTTTCAAAAGTCACCAGAACAGAGCTTCTCAGTCCTACATATAAATGATCCCGGGGAGGACCCCGTAGCCCTTAAGCAAGGGGACTGGAATTGGTCAAACTCGCAGTTTTAATACATGTACAAAATGATCCTCTTTCCCTAAAAGCATGATGGTCATGGCTATCTTACATGAAAGGGGAGGTTAACTTGGCCCCAGACAATCCATCTGAGATCGACTTAAGCTTCAGTCATGTTTGCTTTAACCCCTCTACACAGTGCCTTCAGAAAGTATTCATACCCCTTGACTTATTCCACATTGTGTTGTTTTACAGGCTGAATTCAAAATGGATTCAATATATGTTTTTTGCCTGTGCTTAGCTCTATTCCGTTTATTTTTATTCAAAGAAAACTCCACAGTCCTTGCCGATGACAAGCATACCCATAACATGATGCAGCCACCACCATGCTTAAAAATACGATTTTTTTGTTGCAATTTTACTTTAGTGCCGTATCGCAAACAGGATGCATGTTTTGGAATATTTTTTATTCTGTACAGGCTTCCTTCTTTTCACTCACCATCCAAAGTGTAATTACACCATCCAAAGTGTAATTAATAACTTCACCATTCTTAAAGGGATATTCAATTTTTGTTTTAATTTTAATTTTAAAGAAGGTGTCCTTTGCGAGGCACTGGAAAACCTCCCTGGTCTTTGTGGTTGAATCTGTGTTTGAAATTCACTGCTCGACTGAGGGACCTTACAGATAATTGTATGTGTGGGGTACAGAGATGAGGTAGTCATTCAAAAATCATGTTAAACACTATTATTGCACACAGAGTGAGTCCATGCAACTTATTATGTGACTTGTTAAGCACATTTTTACTCCTGAACCTATTTAGGCTTGCCATGACAAAGGGGTTGAATACTTATTGACTCAAGACGTTTCAGCTTTTCATTTTTTATTAATTTGTAAACATTTCTAAAAACATAATTCCACTTTGACGTTATGGGGTATTGTGTGTAGGCCAGTGACAGAAAATCTCAATTGAATTCATTTCAAATTCAGGCTGTAACACAACAAAATGTGGAAAAATTATTGTTCCCTATTTAAACCATTGTTTCTCCTATACAGGAAAGAGAGGAGCGAGCAGGCAACAAAAGAGAGAGGAGAGGAGGGAGACTAGCGAGGAGGAAAGGAAGAGAAACATGGGGGTAGGAGGAGGCGCAGCACGCGAGAGAGAGGGGGGCGAGGACAGAGGACACGGGCGGGAGGAGGCGCGAGCCGGAGGCGAGGAAGAGCAGAGAGAGCGCGAGAGAGAGAGAGGCGAAGGGAGACGAGAAGAGAAGAGAGAGAGAGAGGAGAGAGGGGACGAGAGAGAGAAGGCGGAGCGGAGAGAGAGACAGCCAGAGAGCAAGGAGAGGAGAGAGAGGCAGAGAGAGAGCCGAGTCCGGGCGAGAGAGAGAGAGAGAGAGAAGAGCGAGGCGAGGGAGAGCGAGCGCGCGCGAAGAGAGAGAGCGAGAGGAGAGCGCGGCGCGGCGAGAGCGAGACGGGCGCGGAGCGGCGGGAGCGGCGGCGCGCGCGCGGCGCGGCGCGGGGAGAGGCGCGCGGCGGCGCGCGCGGCGGGCCGCGAGCGCGCCGGAGGCCGCGGGGAGAGAGCGAGCGAGGAGCGCGCGCGCGAGCGCGGAGGCGGGAGCGGGAGCGCGGCGCCGCGGAGGCCAGAAGAGAGAAGGCAAACGCGCGCCGCGCGCGCGCGAGCCAAGGGCGCGAGCGAGCGCGCGCGCGCCGCGCGCCGCGCGAGCGCGCCGCGCCGAGAGCAGGAAAGAAGACCCTCGGGAGCCGGCGCTCCGCCGGCCCGCGCGGCCGGCGCGCGCCGCCCGAGAGAAAAAAGGCCCGACGCGCCCGCGCGCTGCGGACCTGCTCGCGCCGCTCGCTCTGCGGCTACGAAAACAGGGGTCTGCGCTCTCGTGCTCGCTCTCCGTCCGAGCTCTCCGACGAAAACATCGCTCTTCGCCTCTCTCTACTGCGCTCTCTCCTCTCTCTCTCTCTCTCCTTCCCTCTCTCTCTCTCCTTCCCTACTATAAACCATTGTTTCTCTCTCTCTCCTTCCCCAGGCGCCGGCGCCAGCCCCAACCACCAGATCCACACTGGGAGTAAACGTAAGAAGCTGGCCAACGTCGACAGCGTCTTCAACAAGTTTGGAGAGGAGGAGGCCGACGAGGCTCCCCGTAAACGTAAGCTGGTTCCGCTGGACTACGGTGAGGAGGACAAGAGCCTGGGTCTGGACGGGGCGGAGGGAGAGCAGGGAGGACACAACACAGAGGAGAAACGGAAACACATCAGGACTCTCATCGAGAAGATCCCTACGGCCAGACCTGATCTGTTCAACTACCCTCTGGACTGGACCGCCGTGGACTCGGTAAGGAGGACGAGGAGGGGGCAGTGGAGGGGCCCCGTAGGACCTGGTCTTATGGGTAGATTACTGGGATTTACATCAACATAATGTACTTGATTTAAAAGGGTCAGGCTGCTGTGGTTCCTAGCCTGGTCCCTGATCTGTTTGTGTTATCAATTCAACTCCCAATTGATTTCCCCCCCCATCCCCATCACTAGTGGCAAGGAGTGGAATGATAGCACAAAACAGACTGGTACCCAGGCTAGAGCTCCTTTCCCTAGATATGGAGTAAACAACACAACAATGTCTTTATCTGCCTGTCAACAAACTTCCCAGTAGGAGAGAGGCAGCAAAACACGGGGGAAGGTAGTCAACCAGCTTCCCAGTAGGAGAGAGGCAGCAAAACACGGGGGAAGGTAGTCAACCAGCTTCCCAGTAGGAGAGAGGCAGCAAAACACGGGGGAAGGTAGAACTGCCACTGGCTATGCTTTGGAAGTGTGGATTTATATTCCAGACGTGGGACCACTAAGTCACGTCATTTATATGTAAATTAGAGTTCGGAGCATATGAATGCAACATTTTTTTTTTCTTCCTCTGTAATTGTCCCGGAGATTGTTGTCGGAGATGTGCTATCGCTTTAGGTTTTGCGCGCGCCGCGGCTGACCATTTTAATCGCACCGGTAGAGAAAATTGTGTGTAGATTTTGGGTTACTGCGTCTCTCCACTTTAAAGCACACCAAAGTCTGAAAACCTCGTTCTTCCCGTCTCAGACTCTGATGGAGCGTCGCATCAGGCCCTGGATCAACAAGAAGATCATAGAGTACATCGGAGAGGAGGAAGCTACGCTAGTCGACTTCGTTTGTTCAAAGGTGAGTTGGACTTGGTCGCTTCCGGATAAGAGCATTCCGCTAAATGACTAAAATGCTTACGACAACCTAAGACTTGTCATAAGCGTGTGTGTTGTTTTCAGTCCCTTCTCATTGGCCTTGGAGATGATGCTAGGATGCTGTCATTGTATTGGGGACCGACCCAGTGTTTTATTGCTGTGACGTGTAACGGTACATCTCTGCAGTAGAGGCTGTTGTGGTTGTTGTGGTCTTTCACGGCGTGCTGTTTTACCAGCTTGTTGTGTTCTCTCTCCTCAGGTCATGTCTCACGGCACACCGCAGGGGATCTTGGATGATGTTGCTATGGTGAGTGGGTCATAGATAATGATTAAACATGGTCCTATGAACAATCTTCTAGGCTGAACCAGTTTACTGATCATGTGCTAACATGTATAAGCTGCTTCTGGCTTGTTCTACTAGCACTGACTGTGCTGATAGCTACTTTAGTGAGGAAAAATGTCTTTACTCCGACTGAGATGTGGCGGTCTCATCTAGCTATCTTAAGATGAATGCGCTTAACTGTAAGTCGCTCTGGATAAGAGCGTCCGCTAAATGACTAACGTGAAATGTAAAAATGATATGTCGTCCTACACATTTGAGTTAGTTATAGAAGTATGTAAGAGACAAGACCACTGACTAACTAACTAACTGACTGACTGAATGATGTATTGACTTGCAGGTTCTGGACGAGGAGGCAGAGGTGTTCATAGTTAAAATGTGGAGGCTGTTGATCTACGAAACAGAGGCCAAGAAGATTGGTCTGGGGAAATGAAGACTAGTGTTACAGTACTGCTGTTCAACTATCTAGTACTGCTACAGTACTGCAGTATTACTATCTAGTACTGTTACAGTACTGCAGTATTATACTATGTAGTACTGCTACAGTACTGCAGTATTATACTATGTAGTACTGCTACAGTACTGCAGTATTATACTATCTAGTACTGCTACAGTACTGCAGTATTATACTATCTAGTACTGCTACAGTACTGCTGTACTATACTATCTAGTACTGCCAAAGTACTGCAGTACTATACTATCTAGTACTGCTACTGCTGTCAGGGCCAGTTTTTCCTCTGGCTTCAAGTCTCTTTATTTCTCTGACTGATCAACTGATCACACTGACACCTCTCACTCTGTGAACATGGGCCTATTGCCTCTCCCCAACCCCCACCGCTCCCCAAACCCCCTCTACCCCCAACCCCCCAAAAACCGCTCCCTAACCCCCTTTAATCCGCTCCCCAACACCCCTCTACCACTCCCCAAACCCCTTCTACCACTCCCCAAACCCCCATTCCATCAGTAAAGAACAACAGCTGCTGTGTGTGTGTGTGTGTGTGTGTGTGTGAGTGCGTGCGTGCAAGGGAGAGCTTGACTGTGCTGAATGTGAAAGTGCCCACAAGCTTACTGCACGGTATCCAAGTTGTTTGTTTCTAAGCTGGTGGGAGAGAGACGGTCAGAGGCAAAGCCAGCTCAGCTGTTTATTCGTTATTATCCTGTCTGCTCCACTGTGTCTCAATCTGACACATTGGGCTTTATGGTTTAGTGTTGTCAGGGATGTATCTTATCTCCTTGGTCTGATGGAGGAGTCGCTCCACTGTGTGATCTAATTATGAAATTAAAGAAGCTTTTAGAAAAAATTAAGTGTGCAATTTGTTCAAACTGAAAATGTAGAAATGTGATGTCAGAACTGGATGCAATTATTTAGATTTCTGTTTTTCACTAAGGATATAGTTTGGAATTAACCCGCGTAACATTGCACCAATACCCTGTTACGTACTCTTTAATAACTACTCTCTCGGACGATCTAAAGTCTTTTTAATCTGTGATGATTCAAATGCAGCGTTATTTCACAACCTATCTACGGGTACTGAAGATCACGAGGTGTTTAGATCCATCTACGGGTACTGAAGATCACGAGGTGTTTAGATCCATCTACGGGTACTGAAGATCACGAGGTGTTTAGATCCATCTACGGGTACTGAAAATCACGAGGTGTTTAGATCCATCTACGGGTACTGAAAATCACGAGGTGTTTAGATCCATCTACGGGTACTGAAGATCACGAGGTGTTTAGATCCATCTACGGGTACTGAAGATCACGAGGTGTTTAGATCCATCTACGGGTACTGAAGATCACGAGGTGTTTAGATCCATCTACGGGTACTGAAGATCACGAGGTGTTTAGATCTATACGGTATGAAGATCACGAGGTGTTAGATCCATCTACGGGGGGGTTTGGACTGAAGGATCACGAGGTGTTTAGATCCATCTACGGGTACTGAAGATCACGAGGTGTTTAGATCCATCTACGGGTACTGAAGATTCAGAGTCCCCCCACTAACAGTTCATAATATAGGTCAGTGGTGCACGTGCAAGCTTTCAAACACACTGAAACACAAGCACACCAAACAATACTGAACATTAAACAGAAAATAAGATATACAACTAATACGTTTTTTATAATAAAGACTAGAATTCACTGTTTGAAAACACATCTATTGAACACTGAACATCAGTAGTTTCACAAACATGCAGAATAAAATAAATAAAGATACCGGCCCTTGGTGTGTAATGATGTAGAAGCCAGGGAGGAGAATATTATGTCATCCACAGCTATTCAGAATCAGCAGGTGGCACTGTTCTGTGCTTTTATGAGCTCAATGATTTAGAAAGACATGGAAACATACCATCACCCTATATCCCAACATATTGTTGTTTGTGTCTGTGTTGTCCAGGTGAGGGATGATGCTGACCATATTTTGAGGCTACACAGCATTTACAATTACATTGTTTACAAGCAATGGAGTTAAAATAAGGTTATATTTAAGCAATAAGGCCCGAGGAGGTGTGGTATATGGCCAATATACCACGGCTAAGGGCTGTTTTTTTTAATGCACGAAGCAACGCGGTGCGCTTGGATACAGCCCTTAGCCGTGGTACAGCGCATTCGGAAAGTATTCAGACCCTTTTACTTTTTCCACATTTTGTTACATTTCAGCCTTATTCTAAAATGGATTAAATCGTTTTTTCCCCCCCTCATCAAGCTACACACAATATGACAAAGCAAAAACAGATTTTTAGAAATGTTTGCAAATGTGTGTATATATATATATATATACATTACCAGTCAAAAGTTTGGACACACCTACTCTTTCCAGGGTTTTTCTTTATTTTTACAATGTTCTACATTGTAGAATAATAGTGAAGACATCAAAACTATGAAATAACACATATGGAATCATGTAGTAACCAAAAAAGTGTTCAACAAATCAAAATATATTTTATATTTGGGATTCTTCAAATAGCCACCCTTTGCCTTGATGACAGCTTTGCACACTTGGCATTCTCTCAACCAGCTTCATGAGATAGTCACCTGGAATGCATTTCAATTAACAGGTGTGCCTTCTTAAAAGTTAATTTGTGGAATTTCTTTCCTTCTTCTTAATGCGTTTGAGCCAATCAGTTGTGTTGTGACAAGGTAGGGGCGGTATACAGAAGATAGCCCTATTTGGTAAAAGACCAAGTCCATATTATGGACAAGAACAGCTCAACTAAGCAAAGAGAAACGACAGTCCATCATTACTTTAAGACATGAAGGTCAGTCAATACGGAACATTTCAAGACACACACACACACACACATGCATCTGTGAGGTCAGGGTCCTTCTTGCCTTGTAGTCCGCTGTAGGTAGCTACTCTTTAAACTGAATCAATTCAACAGTCACTCCATTATTCTCCCACTGACATATTGTCTCCCCTACTGTACCAGATAAACCACTGTCTTCATCAGTGTTGCTGCTGTTTCATATTAACTCATTTGGTTCATTTTTGTTTTGCAAGAACACTTTTTTCATCATGTTTCATTCTACTGTTTGTAATTATTGTGATTTAATTTTAAAAAATCAGATTTTGATTAAATATTTTGTGTCTTGAGTTTATGGGAACCTCTTGAACAATCCCGTTTTACTCTTACCCAAGTCCCTTCAGTATAATCACAAGGCTTGAAGAACTCAAGATTCTCTATAGGAAGCATTGTCAGGAAAGACCACAGGCCGTACCACTCATAACCACTAGAGGTCAGGCTAAACCTGAGACTGGTGCTGACACTGGATCTGTTTCCTGTGTGTGTGTGAACACCCACCTTAGTGTGACTTAGAGATGGGGTTTTTAAACGTGGTGACACCTGTAGTTTCCACTTCTTCAGTCATTTGTACAGGAACCAGTCATGAAGTTGCCCAATCTTCTCTTCCTGCAGTGTAAATTTAACCCTCCAACAGATAACATAACACTAGTCCGTAAGGGTGATCGGGATCCTTAAGGTTATGTTTTAAAGTATTTGTATGCTGCCCAAATTAAATTCCCTTTATAGTGCACTATTTCTGACCAGGGCCTATAGGGAATAGTCCCTTTGTAGCATTATTTTAGCTTAAATTTTATTTGGGAATTGTATAAATACTTTGAATATTATTAATTTCCGTGTCGGCTCTATGCCTGGAAATGCCCTTGTCTGAGCAAAGGATCCCAATTTCAAACTCTACAAAAAAGTATTTAACCCTCCCGTTGTCCTAGGGTCAAAATGACCCGCCACTGTGTTGAACCAACTTTATTTAATTTTTATATTTTTGGGATCATTTGTGAGAAGGAGGCAGTGATACTTTCTTTAAAGTCTCACTGCCTCCTTCTCACAAATGATCCCCAAAATATAAAAATTAAATAAAGTTGGTTCAACACAGTGGCGGGTCATTTTGACCCTAGGACAACGGGAGGGTTAAAATTAATAAAACTGGCAATGATGGATATTAACTAAAAAATTATCTTATGTAGTTTCTTGCAATAGCTCTCTGTGACTTTAAATAATATTTATCTCAAAACTATGATTCTTAAAAGATGTGTCTGGAGATTTGGTCAACTGTTGTCAACTCCGTCAGTGGCTCGTCAACTCCATCAATATTTTTTTGTCAATATTCTGCAACACATGCTTAAACAATTTGTAAGTATTTGCTGTGCTAGACGTAAGGGATAATGTTTGCTTTATAAATGTTGTTTTATGTTGTAAATCTAGAAAAACATGCCAAAATGCTAAAGAAATGAACCTTGGAGCATTTAATATAACATTCTATAAAAACAAAACAGAACAAAAAGAAGCTTGGAGAATAGTCAGCAGTCTGTGTGGTACTGTGCTGCCAGCACCTACACTATGGCAGATCAGGCAGAGTACAAAAACCCTCCATCACACACACACACACACACACACACACACACACACACACACACACCATCATTAAGAGTCATTAACTCCCACAG